ACGTTCTTGATCAGTTACTAATATTCGACGATATTTTGACAGCAATGGAACTAGATGCCCCTTTCACAGAGAATGGAAATGAGTATAAGTTTGGGTCACTACTAGAAAAACAATCTTTTACGATGCACAATGTGTGTCGTAAAACGTTCAGACAACGTGCAAATGCGTGTCAAGGAAGGCCTATCATAACGAGCGATGACACGCATTTGCACGTCGTCTATTTACGACGAGCATTATGACATGCATTTACGACGCGCAGTTATGACACGCAATGCGTATCAAGGGAAGGCTTTGTCATAAAAGAAGATGACACGCATTTGCGTGTCATAACCTTACGACGCGCGTGTTTATGTCACGCTATGCGCATCAAGGAAGCCCTTGTCATAAAGGAAGACGACTCGCATTTTTGCGTGTCATAATTTTAAATGTTTTTAAAATTATATATTTTTGATAGGTTTACTAATTTTCAAATTTAATAACATATTAAAAATCTCATAATACAAAATAAAATACCATAAATAATAAAAATAATTTATTGCACTAATATGTCAAATACAAATAATCATTCCAATAGTAAGTAAATGTAATACATAGCTAATATTGTATAATATTTATTATAGAAAAACCAAACATGTACATTAAAAAGGAACCCGTGGGTAATTTCTCCTTTGAAAATCTCCATGGAGCTTTAAGCCTATCAACCTCACCACTCGAAGATGCATCAACCAGTGTCAAGTATTCTTCTACAAGCTTGTACCTAACACATTCCACATTCATGCCTAGAATCAGCTACTTGAAAATGGTTCAATCAAGCACCAAAAGTTTATAACCAACTTCACAAGTCATAAATACTAAATTACAAAGGTTTCTCATTATCAACAAGTGTAATAGGTGTATTTTTCCTAAAATAAATTGTAAGGGATTCAAGTGATGATTTACCTTTGGTTTCTTCCTATATAGTAATACACTTAGCCAATTAGTTAGAGCAGATGTTGACATTAGAGATACCTTGAGAAGTAAAAATGCCTACATAATCAAAGCAAATATCCCATTACACAATATTAACATGAAAAATTATTCAAAAGAGATAAATATCCCATTAGAACATCAAATTCCCTCAAGCAACATCATATCCATTATGACATTCTGTACAGATTAAGTAAAAAAGAAACAGCCATGTATAGTTGTCGTGAATAAATGCTTAACCCATTAAGTAAAAAAGAACAAGAAACAACCATATCCCATTATCACATACCTCTGTAACTTTAATCTTGATTAAATACAACTCTTCCTTTTGCTTCTTGTAAACAAACATGGCTTTCTGCACCACAAAGTACAATAACATATTAATTAATAAACCCACCACATATTTACACTAAAAACTTAATCTTCTTCAACAACACCAACCTCAAACATAGAATCATGTATCATGCCACCAAACACCAAACCACCATCACTAAAATTACCTTCTACACTCTCCTGCAACACAAACACAAATTTAATTCACATCTTTACTATTTACTTCCAAAAACAATATATTGCAGTCAATTTTATCATCATTGGTAGTGTAAGATCTTGAGATACATCAACCCTAAATGAAAATAACTCCAAGATGTTCAATTTTATCATCAACCGTAGTGTAAGATGTTCACCATATCAAAATCTACAAGATCATGTTCAATGCAAACTCATCTGCGATTGAAACAAATAAGCTCCAAAATGTTCAATTTTCAAAATTGAAATACCAATCTAAATGGAAATAAGCTCCAAGATGTTCAATTTTCAAAATTGAAATACCAATCTAAATGGAAATAAGCTCCAAGATGTTCAATTTATTTTTATTACATATTATAAAAAATCAAATCAACTAACTTTAATTGAGCATCAACAGATTCGAGCCAGAATATAAAAAACTGTTATATCTAATATCTATTATATGTTATTTAATCTTCAATTTTCAAAGTTGAAATACCAATCTAAATGGAAATGATTGAACACTTGGGTTCATCCAAAACCACAACCATTACTTGTTTGTATTTGATTTAATAAAAATGTAGAAGACAAAAATATGCAAAATGGATAGATATTTTCATCTTTACTGAAACCTTTTTTTTTATTTAGTTCAAATAATAAATGATAATATTATACTTTTATATATTCCATTTGGATGTGGATTTTGATTTTGAAAAATGAAAGATCATTCTGGATGAACACAACTTTCTGTTGGCCTTGATCTGTTCATAACTCATCTTCAATGGCATTTTTTTGTATTTTGTTTTTTGTTTAAGCATTATATAATACAAGAAATTATAAAGAGATGGAATATAATTTCTTACTGTGGGTTACTTTTAGGGGCCTCACTATTAACCGACTAACCTATAAGGTAACAAAAGATAAGCATTTTTCACGCAAAATGGCAATGTTGCATTTTCTACATATATATATCATTATTATATATAAAAACCCTTTTATTTTGGTGCCTTCTACAAGAAAGTAATAGGGTTCAATAAACTGCACGTAGCCAACTCCTGGAACGACGCAACATACCAAAATGTTGCTTACATCTTTTGACATGTCAATTACAATTTCCTTATCGTCGCTTCCGCTTCCCCAGGAATGACGCAACATTCTCCGTCTCTCCAAACACACGAAGCCAGTTCCTCTCTAACAAAAAGCTGACCATATCTTCGAGAAAACGAAAATCACTGATTGTGCGATCACCAAAAAATCCGCTCCTGCAATTGCTTTACTTAATGAATCGAAGAAGAACGACAAATCTATGATCTCCTTCTTACTGGTATGTTATCTACAAGAACCCTAATTTGATTTAAAGTTTTCTTGTTACCATTAATCCAATTGACATTTTTTCTTGCCCCTATTAAATCTATTCAAAATTATCCCTGATCCTCCTATCTTGGAAATGCAATTTCGTGCATTGGCATAATTAAGTTGAAGCAAAAGACCGGTTATTGTGTTCTTCTGGTCCATTGTTGTTTGGGTTATTTTCACATTGAAATAAAGCTATCACATATAGATTCTATGCCTTTTGTGCAAATAAATGATTGACAAAGTATTATCCTCTTGAACTCAATGTTGTTTCCACCGCTACACCTGTTGGGGAACCCTTTTTTTTTTTTTTTTGTTTTATTTACCTTCGTTGGCATACAACCTCTCCTCATCTTCCAGAATGAAATTGATGACGGCTCCCGCTCTACTTGATATCTTCTTTCCCCACCCCGATGTACCAACGATCCCTCATTGATTTACTTCTTACAGATCTTCACCGAGGGTTCAAGAGACGACTTCTCACTTTTTTCCCATCATGTTTGGGTTACCTATCTCATCCCTCTCCAAGCCACCGCTTCCTCTAATTCATATTATTAGTTTTTTTTTTTTTTTTTTTTCGTTTATGATGATGTTAAAAAAAATAGCAGAGCTCTCATATTACATTGATTTTTTCTTAATCTAATCATCACACTTTCACCTTTTGTTTCTTCTTTTTGGGTTCCTCTATCTCTCTATATAGGAAACCAATAGATATGGTCAATTTCATCCTGTTATCACATAACATTTTTTTGTATCTTTTATAACTCTTTATGATAATAATTTAATCGGCATTGGCATGAATCGTGCATTAATCTTGTGAATCTTTTGTAGTCCACTTGTTTGTCAAAATGTTTCTGTTAACCAAATCATCACTAACAATTTTTCTTGAATGCTTATCTTTGATTAGTATTTTTTCCTTCATATATTTTCTAAACACGTCGACTCAAATTATCTTTTCGTATCAATCGGGTTTAGTTGTTCAAATAACATTTTTTATGAATATGATCTTCTAAATTTTACCTAACTGATTACAATTCGATATAGATGGGAGATATTTTGATAATCCAGTTGATGTTAGTGGTAGCTGCTTCATGCATTGCTTAATATATATTATTCCATTTGTGCATTTATGAATTTCACACATTCAATAAAATGCACACGAGGTAAGTGTTCATCATCATTGGTTCTTGGAGTGAAATATTAGGTTATAAAGAACACATTTAATCATGAATTGGTGATCTAAAATGCAGTAACTGATATATTAGTTGGAGATCCATTAGGAGAATTGGGGTATGTTTTGTCATTGAAAATCTGTTTTTTTTTGTATTAAATATTATGGTAGATTAAGTATGTCATATTCAAATGATTTATTATTGTTTACTACATCTATTTGACGATCAAGTGATGAAAGTGGGTTGTGATTCAATTCATTTCGGATTTTATGTTTTATTTTGCTGTTTTTTGGTGGTTAAATTGATTATAAATGTCCTCAACCCATCATTTTTTTATATTTCCAAATTGTGTGAATATGCTGCTAAATGTCTATTTTATAGCCCGAAAGTTAGTTAGCACATTCTTTTTGTATAATCTCAAATTTTAAATCAATGAGTTAATGGCATACTAACATATCATAGAAACTATTTATTTTATATAGATTGATTCATCTTGAAGAAAGGCTCTACAAGGAGTTGCGATTAAATCATGTTCATGTGGTTAATGATATAACAGTGGTTGTATAGTAAGTTTATTTGCATGTGCAAGGAAAATATAAAAGTTGTTCTACAAGAACTCTATATTCTCATGCTCTCTTTACTATCTCGTACATGTGTTTATTTTGCTATATTATGATCGGAATTGGAACTTAATTCCATTATGTAACAACCGTCATGCAAAAATTATGAAATCAAACTTTCATTTATTCGTTGATAATAACAATATACTTCCATGTTCTTTTTCTTATTCACGTGTTTTCATAATCCGCACATTCAAAGAAAAAATCATCATTTTTAGGATATTATCACATTTTTATTTTAGATTACATTAAAATAATTACCTAAATTACTTTCTGTGGGTCGTGCTAAGCACGGGCTCAAACTTTTCTAGTATATATATATATATATATATATATATATATATATATATATATATATATATATATATATCAAAAGCAACTATTAGGACCTTCTCTTTGAGCTTTTGCCAGGCAACTGTCTCTTTTCTTTCTGTTTGATCTTACGTTGTTTGACTTCTTTCTTTGTTGACCTCTTCTTCCTCCTTTTACCACCAGCAGATGACCTTGAAGAATCAGAATCAGCTTCTGATTCCGACTCCGAATCGGAATCGGAATCATTCTCCAAAGAATAAGAGTCGGAATCTGAATCAGATGGTGAGTACTTCCTTCGTTTCCTTAATTTCTCCCTGACAGTTGATCCACGACGTTTTTTTACTCACCCATCAGAACTGTCATCAGAATAAGTATCTTTCTTCACAGTTTTTTTTTTTTTTTTTTTTTTTTACCTATAAAGAAAATGTAACAACAAATTATATAATCAAATAAATGTTATTCATGGTTAATAAATAACAACAACAATACCTTTTACGGGTTCCACCACATTGTTCTTCTTATCTTAAATAACTTCGCCACAATCCATAATTTTTACCACACTAGAAGGTTTTCCATCACTTTTTCCCAATAACTCAATCTTCTTAATTATCTCCATTCCCTTTGTTACCTTACCAAAAACAACATGTTTCCTTACCAAAAAGATTATAAAATCAAATACTTTCCCTGCACCATCAAACACTAGATTGCTTTAGTACATTGTTCCCAATCAGGGCAATTAAAGCAAAGCAAATAAATTAATAACCAGATAACACATTAACACTCACTACACAGTTATCACAAAGTTCAACTTCAAACTATTGATAAAATTAGGTACTCTGATTTGTCAAAAAACATATCCCACATAAATTTCTTTTTTGCCAAGAATGACGAAAATGCCCCTTAAGCAATTTTTTGAATAACCGGTCCTTACTAGTCACATATCACATTCTCCATCTCTCTGATCATAACATATCCACCTAGCTTTTATTAACACCTTTTTTTCAAAAACCAAAAAAATCATTATCTTTTTATTACTCTTTCTGTTAACAGAGAGATAAAACTTCCCAATTTCATGTCTCTCATAGCAACAAACCTACCAATTATCATTCCAGTTTAAATCAAAAATGATTTTTTATCGCCATAAGAATAATCGACATTTTTAACTGGGATATTCCAGTTATTGCAAATTTCCACATTCAGACTTAAATAACACAACTTCAGGCTCTGAACCTGTAATCCTTGAAACTTATGAAAAGATGTAGATATTAATATCTAAAAAATTACCAGCACTAAACATCGCCATTATAAAAAAACATACAATCAGAAAAAAGAGAGGGTTTACGGTGTGTGTATGTGATCGCAAAACAGTAAGAACAAGAAAAAGAGATGGGTGTTTTAGACGTAAATCATACCTATTGTGGAGCCTTCTATAAACGGTAGTAGGATTAAAAAGAAATTCAAATCCTTTACCTACATCGATTAAAACTATCAGGAGATAAAAATCAAACAAGGGTTATTATCAGATAAATGGAATTAGTGAGAGGAGTTCCTTGGAGAAATATTTGAACTCACATGTTGAACAATCATCTCACACTCAGTCGGCGATTTCAGCGTATTTTGAGAGCAACAGTGGAGTCGGAGGTGTGATGGCGCTAGAGATGCAAATTTGGAGAGCCGTCGGAGGTTTGAGAATCGAGAGAGAAGAAAAGGATCGAGAAAAAAAAGGGTTTTCGACTGGTGCATTATGCGAGCGTACCCCTTGATCCCGTTGAAGAACTTGAGACGTTTTTGATGAAGGAAACCCATAGAAACGTTGATCAGGGTTTAAGTTGGGTAACACGCTTTGGATCTTCTAATTCTGGGTCGTGGGCCTAGACATCTTTGCCCCACTACTACCAGTCCAACCCACCACAGATGGATCTTGAGTTGAATAATGCACTGGGATAGAGTACCGACCGACGGAAATAACCCCTCCTCTACGTCGTTGAGGAATTAGATTATTGCAGAACATAACAGGATAACAAAAGCACTTACACGAACTTCAAGTATGAGGCGGGGTTTTAGGGTTTCTTTTGATCGATGAAGATTTTAGGAACTTCAAGTATGAAATTATCGATCTTTTACCCACAATGCTTTTAGGGTTTCTTTTGATTGAAGAGGATTTTACAACATACGAAGAAGAAGAAGGACAAGAGTATCAAGGCGGGTTTTTTTTTTTTTGGATTTCATTCCCCCCTTGGCAATTAAAAAATTGGAGAACGCGCGCGTTCATAAAGAAAAATATAAGGCGACAATGTTAAACGACACACTTTTTTATGATAGGTGCTCTCCGTGTTTTTAATTTTTTTGTTGGACACTATATTTAGAGCACTCACAAATGCGTGTCCTCAATTCCTCTGAATTTGCAAAACTAACATTATATTTTAGGGCACGCACAAATGCGCGTCCTCTATCAGCGAGTGCCATTGTTTGCACGTCATTAAAGGGTTGTTTTCTAGTAGCGGGTATTACCTTATGGATGGAATATATCCAGCATATTCTACATTCGTGAAGGCGTTTCGACACCTAGTAACGCCAAGATAAAATTTTTTTCAAGAGAAAACAAAAAGGAGCACGTAAGGATGTGGAACGTGCGTTTGGAGTTCTGAAGTCGAAATTACACATAGTTGAACATGCAGCATGACCATATCAGTTAGACGTTCTACAAAATATTATGTATGCATGTATCATAATGCATAACATGGTTGCTGAAGATAAAGGACGAAACATTGCGGAGTATTCGGCTTCGACGCTCAAACACAAACAATTTCAACCCGGGACAACGTAATACTTACATAGGGTCGTAGATATTCAAGACATACAAAAACATAGACAACTTCGAAAGGATTTGGTTGATTTTATGTATGATGGAAAAGAAAATGAATAAATTAGCGGCAAAATATAATTTTTTTTAAATGTTATGTTTTCGTAACGTTTTTTAAATGTTATGTTTAATTAAAAAATATGTTTTATTTAAATAACATGTTTTAATTAATTTTGTTTGAAAAACAAAAATTATATTAAAAAAGTAAAAATAAATAATGACATGGAGTGTTATAACTAGTTTGCTCATTTCCTCTATTTGATAATATAACACCTACATTGAAATAACATATGTGATGATAACTTTTTGAATATGATAACACCCCATAACTAATTGTCTATACCTACTAGTGGTATGGTTATTGCCATTGCAGTGGATATCGAGAGTTTAAAGATTTAATGGTTGTAAATGCGAGTGTATTTGATGATATGAAACGAATAAGTCGATGATGTATCATATAGATTTCATTTTGGGTTATCACTTGATATTTTGATTTTTTGTGGCTACTAATGAAGAGGAAAGGTTGGACAGCCGTACCGTGGTATGGGCTTTATTAATGGGCTGGGTACAACCGTATTGGATGTATTGCATGTCTCTGTGTTATGACTTTTTTTTTTGAAAAACAAATCAAATGGGGTTTTGAGTTTTGACTTTTAATAATGACTTGGTTAATCACTACTTGTCTAGTCTGATTAGTGAAGTGCCGGAGAAATTATAGTGCCTTATTTTTTTATTTTTTTATTTTTTTATTGTTATTTTTTTTTAAATTACCGTGAAAGGTTATAAAAACAATAATAAACAAAGCTAACAAAAAGCTAGTAACAAAATACTAAATACAAGAAAATCAAAACAAACATGTGTTCTTGAGACTCATGGGTATAATTTGATTTCCTCTGGCCGTAAAAATAAAAGAATAAACAAATAAATAAATAAAACCTCCAGAATCTCTATATTTCACTCGATTAAATAAATTAAGTAAAAATTAAGTAGGATTTTCTTTGCCTTGAATTTATGCAAATGATGTTCTCTCTTTCCGTACTCATTAGAGCATAACAGAATTTCCCAAAGATGTTCGAAATTCCAATTATTTGTAATATTTTAATATTCGTTATTGTTCCTGAAGATTGTTAACTAATCTTGTAGTGAAAGAAAAAAACAAATCCTAAATCCATGGAAATAGAGATCGAGAGGAAAATGAAACATACAACTATCTCTTATCTAAGATACACATAAAATGTACAGAAATACTTCATTAAGAAAAATTCAAATGTGAATATAAAGAAGGTTCAAATGTTAAAACCAATCTATCATAGTTGAATGATCATATTTTTTATACTTATTTATTATTTAAAAAACAATTATGACTAGATGGCCTGAAACAAACGTTTTGAAGGCATTTAAATGGTTGATAATAATTATCACTCATAGGCGTGTATGCCCAACTGTAGCTAGCAGCCCGAGTGCAGAGTTGTCAATCATAATATAGATCTATATACACTTGTTTCGATCACCGCCTGGAGATTCTGATTATAATATCAAGACTATAACTATGTTGTTTAAATAAATAAACAACCTGAACATATTGTCTCATAAAAACATATAAACGTTACGTGTATAATATGAAAACCCAATCATTCTGAAATAAATGATTAATAATATTTTTTTCCTTGTTTAGTATACTCTAAATGCACTTGAAAGTTGTATACACTTGCTTTTGTACAATAGTATAAACCCATGTTCTTGTAAAATAGTGTACTTTAATATACTTGACTTGTGAGTTAGTGTTCTTAAATTATAAATTATACCTATTATAATTTATATGTACGTTCTGAATTGATATTAACTGTTCATGAATGCAACCCCTTTTTGATATGTTACAAATGGTATTTGAAACTGAATGAAATAACCTTTATATATATATATATATATATATATATATATATATATATATATATATATATATATATATATATATATATATATATATATATAACTAAAATTGAAACGATAGTCAGATAAATAATTGATACCCTAAATCCACATCCAAATAAGGAAAATGAAATAAAGTGAGTTATCAGTCCTAAATCTTTTAAATCTTATTTATATAATAAATATGATTTTTGGGGAAAAATATAAGTTTATAAAAGAGTTAAAACATTTTGAAATACTTTTGATGACTTGATGTCATTTTATCACCATTTGAAACCATTTGACTTTGAAAATAACTAAAATCCATTTCGTAAGATATTTTGAAATCATTTGTTGATAACACAAGATCCTTGTGTTATACTTGTATCCTCCCCCCCCCCCCCCCCCCCCCCCTTTTTTTTAAACTGTAAAAACTATGAAAATATGGGGGTATGAACTCACCTTTTAGAGGGCGATTCAAATGATGATTTGGTATAGGATGTTTAGTCCACAAGTGAAATCTCATAACAAAACAAGTCACATATAGCAATTTATATAACATATATGCATCCAATTAGCTAATATAATCATATGAGTGATCGGAAACTGAACTAATTTGTAAGTATAACTTACAAATTGGTGTGTTAGAAGCTAAAATGGAAGCTAAATGGTGTTCACAACCCAAGCACATGAAGGGTTCATGACCCTGTAGGTTCACGGCCATGGGTTCTTGATGAATGATGAACACTTGATGATCCTAAACCAGTTTCTAAGAAGATTCAAAGGTTTTTAGGTGGTTGTTCTTCGTGTTCTTCGTGAAAACTAGTGAAATCAAATGATTTTCAGCATAGTATAAGAGGACTGAATAATGTTCTTGAAATGATAACAAGATCAAGAAGTGATACATGTTAGATCTTATGAATAATTAGTGATTTAACACTTGAATAAGATGAGAATTGATGATTATAGTATGTTCTTGAGGAGAGAGGTTGTTCTTTGTGTTCTTGGCTGGCGATACTTGAGAGAAAATGATTTGGAATGGTGTTTGAATGTGTAAAAAGTGAAGATATCATCTAAAAGCAAAGACCAAAAGATATATAACAATATATTTTCAAGAAAAAAAATATATAAAGTCACAAGTCACAACATTCTTGAATAAAATTGCTTTCTAATTCAATGTTGTAAATAAAATTTGTCAATATTTAGTTATAAAAAATAAAAAATAAAACTATTAATTTTGAACGTTTGATTATTATTTTGAAATAATAAATAAATGTTACCGTAATTGATACCCGAATTTTCAATTCCAGCCTGTATTTTGCGATATTATTCCAAGCGTCCGGTAAAGTCTTTATGCCATTTGTTCCTTTAGTTTTGTTAAATTTGACACTCTCGGATATGGATGTCAACGAGGAAAAACCGGACGGTGAGTGCATCCCCCACCCCCACCCCCTCCCACGATCTCGTTCCCTCGTCCCCACCCCCACCCACAAAATGTTCAACCTTCCTACCCCTGCCACCGCCCCAGCCCATGAATCCCCATTATTACCCCTGCCCCGACCCTTGTTTCTCCGTTCCTAATTGATTTTGGGTTGTCATTTTTTGGGCTAAAAGAAGTTGTTGTTTGGACTAAAAAGAAGTTTTTTTTTAGGTAAAAAATAATTATTTATAGCAGAATTTTACATGTTAAAAGTAAAAAAGTTATGACATCTTAAAAACATTATACTAACAACTTAAAAACATGTTTTTGTTGAACTTTGGAAACTCAAAATTGTGTTATTGTTTCATATATTTATCTAATTAATATATGTAAATATAAATATAATTTATTAACGGGTTCCTCATGGGGTTTTGAGACGGAATTGCCTATCCCTATCCCCGAAATTAAAATGGGGATTAACCTTGTTCCCGCCCCATCCCTGCCCCCGATTCTCTTTTAATAAATAACTCCAAACAGGACGGGGTCCCTATAGGAATAGGGTTCCATGAGACTTTTTGACATCCCTACTCTCAGACTAATTTTTCTAACCATTTTTTAAAATCCTTATCCCTTGTCAATTGTATCCATCGTGAGTGCCCTTGGGATTATGGTAGTGAAAAGGCAATTGGACTCAATAGGCTTACCATTAAATTTCTAAAAGTTATTGGACTTTGT